AACATGAAGGAATAGATTTATCATAGTTGTACTCACCGATTTAATGTCTGTTATCTATTCCATTTGATTTTGATGAGGTATGATGGTACATAGTTCCTTAATTAACTTCACACATACTCTGTTAACGAATTACTTTAATAACAATGAGGACGTAAAATGTAGATTTGTATTTGTTATGTATTTTATCCGTAAAATCTCCATCGCCAGTTTGTTGTGAGTTTAATGCCGATTAGTTATCACGTGACGTATTCGCCAATCGAAATACAACACATACAATCTTAAAACTGTGCCAAACCAACGACGTTCGACCGGTATAAGCAGTCTAGCGTCTTTGTTGGTCCTTTTCCCTCCTATCCCTGCCAGTTTAGTCCAAGACTCCAACACCGACTTCCATAATACGAATCATTTATTTCAAACATACCTGGTCTATATACAAGCGAAAAAGACCACATCACACAACAAAACAGGAAATGATATTTGTAAGAGATCAAGCCGAAAGGTGTCTGTGATTTTGGGAGACTCTAATCAGCAAAATAAGTATAATTTATGAATGGTAGATCGTATAATTATAATCTTTAGGCCAAAATACAGCTCATAATAAGTAGAATATAAATATACATATTTTAGTAGCTGAATATATTTGCCCATTAACAGTTCTCAGAAGCTGCCCGTAATTTAATTTCACTGGGATATAAAACGAAGGAACGGACGGGTAGGACACTTCGAGGAACTCGTAAATAGGCCAGCTCCACTGAATCCACCCCGACATCGAGGCAGCACACAGACCTCTCTATAGATGCCACTCCACCAGTGATCGAAGAAATCAGGATGGCCATCAGACAAATCAAGAGTGGGAAATCAGCAGGACCTGCCAATATAACAGCTGATGCACTAAAGTCAGACATTCAAGTAATTGCAAACATGCTCAACATTCTATTCGGGAAGATTTAGGAAGACGAACAAGTGCCGATGAACTGTGAAGAATGATACCTCATCAAGACACTACGGAAAGGAAATCTGGGCAAATGAGAGAATTACAGACGTATCACACTACTGTTAGTATCAAAAAAGGTTTTTAACAGAGTACGAACGGCTCACTAGACACTTAACTTTGAAATAAATGGACCGGATTCCGTAAAGATCGGTCGTGCACAGACAAAATCGCAACACTGAGGATCATCGTTAAACAATAAATTGAATGGAACTTGTCATCATATGTCAAGTTCCTTGATTATGAGAAACCACTTGACAATGTGAATGGGAGGATATTGTGGAAAGTTCTTCGGCACTACGGAGTGCCTGAGAAAATTGTCAACATCATCCGGAATTCATTCGACGAACTACAGTGCAAAGTGGTGCATGGAGGACGACTGACAGATACATTCCAAGACAGGACCGGAATGATATAAGGCTGCCTGCTTCCCCTTTTCTCTTTCTTCTGGTGGTTGAATGGTTTATGATGACCACATTTGAGAGACGACATGGAATAAAATGAACAGGTTGGATGCAACTGGACGATTTGGACTTCGCAGATGACCTGGCTCACCTATCCCATACACATCAATAAATACAGGTCAAGACAAACAGTGTAGCAGCAGCCTCTGCATCGACAGACCTCAGTATACACATGGGGAGAAGGAAGATCCCGAAATACAACAGTGTGTGAACCAACGCGACCACAATGGATAGAGAAACTCTGGAAAAGATCAAATCTTTCACACACATTTCCTAAAACAACTGGCATTTTCTTAAGGTTTCAATACAGTGTCTATGAATTTAAATCTCATTTATTAACCAAAAATTCCACGTTTCTGCCATTTGAATGAGCTTCGGATCTGTTACACATATGCTCAAAACTTTCTCAACTAACGTTTGGAACTAGGTATACCGATTGACTCTATCAACAGTAGAGAAAGACGATGGTAAAACTCAAGTATTCTCAAGCTACTTTATCAATGCATATACCGTGTAAACACCCTTCCTATCAGTCTACACAAATCCACACACCCACCGGACAACGTGACTATTAAAGAACTCGATGTCCTTGGTTTGCCAAACGAGCTTGATACAGGCGAATTCAAGGGATTCAATGAACTGCGTCCCAAGTTACTAAAGGAACTAGCCAACTTTGTTATGGACCCCTGAACTTTAAGTTTTAATCTCTCCGTAACCCAGGGTCGACTATCAAGAGACTGGAGGAACGCCATAGTAAGTCCTGTCTTTAAAACAGGCACGAAACATAAACTTGAGAACTATCAATCCGATAGCCTAATCAGTGGGGTTGTTAAAATTTCCGAAAAAATTATTCGGAAGGATCTGTTTAAGTATCTCAATGAAAGCCGGATCCCTTTGGAGGAGCATCATGGCTGTAGAATAGGTTATTCCTGCCTCATAAGCTTATTAGTGGCTCGTGAAAGCCTGTACGCCCTTGCTTACCTATAGACGTGGCCTACATTGACTTCAGCAAAGCTTTCAATAAAATTCACCACAACGGAGTGTTATATGGGTTAAGAAACGTAGGGGTTGGAGTCTATCTATCAATGTGGATAGAAGACTTCCTAGTTGGGCGCTAACAAGGAGTATGGGTGAACTCAAAGTTGTTTAGCCGGGAAATTGTGCTTAACGAAGTACCTTAGGGTATAGTTTTGGGGCTAGCGTTATTCCATTTGTATGTAAATGACCTTCCTCCTCTCCCATCATTATCGCTCTTGTTGTATACTGGCAATGTCATGATGTGGAGAGTGATAAACGAAGCAAAGGTGATAATTTAAAGCTTCAAAATGACTTGAAGAAATTGTCTGAGTGTTCTAAAATTTGGCAGTTGCATGCAAATGCTTCCAAGTGAATTGCGATGCATATTGGTCATCAATGTAAAGATACATACACGGTGAATAACAGTGAGTTGCCTGCTGTTCAGACACACAATGACTTAGGATTCATCGTTGGCCAAGACTTAAAAATTACTGTACATTGACGTGAGACAACCTCCAAAGGTTTCAGAACCCTGGTGTCAACATGTAGGGCCTATAGCCACGTTGATTATCAATCCTTTTTGTATGAAGTATCCGTGCATCCTAAACCCGAGTACTGCATACAAGCTGCTATCCCCTATCTAAAAAAGAGACAGAGAGCTTCCGGAGAAATTCCAAAGGACTGTAACTAAACTGATTTCCGGTATGGCAAAGCTCTTGTATGATACTCGACTGGCTAAGCCAATCCTATTCCTGTGTCATATTGGAGAACTAGAAGTGACTTGATTACAGTTTCAAAACCACATGGTGATAAATTTGCATCTGATATGTCCTTATTTTTTGTCTTCCAAAACAGAAAATTTACGAAGACACTCCAAGCGCAGAACAAATTACTTGACTATCAATCTAATCATCGAACCATCAGCGGGTGGAATTTATTATCTCAACACGTGATTGAGGCCGTATCCGTCAATTCCTTCAAAAGAAAGTTGGATCAACTGAGAGATCATCATTGTCAGGACTAACACAGGCCACCAAGCCTCGTGTCCTTTCCGAACTGAAACTGATTGTTTCCACATACCTAGACCACAACACGGGAGATAAGTGATCTTTCACCTTTGAAAATGAGAGATTCTTAACCGATTCCATCCTCAATCTTTCGGAAGTATTAAAATCTTTTCACTAAACCGTCGTAAATATTGAATTTCGAAGGCCCACAGAAAAATTCGAATCCCAACCTGTAGGTCAGTATCTGTGGATGGCTTAGTTTCTTTTGTATGTCATGTACAGTAGTCTGTATATTTTCGACAACACTGAACATTATTCTCATCGTACAACCTATCAATCATTTTACGAATGTTTTTGTGACCAGGTTTAATGTAACCCAATTTCGGGGAAAATTTGACCCATTTTGGGGAAGCCGCTATGGTAAACTTTGGGGAATTTCCCCAAACGTTGGGAGCTTGGTAATATTGACTGGATTCTAAACCCTGTTTGCGACAAAGTGCAAATGACTCGTAGTGATGTTTTTCAAGTATAGTTATGTTGACGTCCTTTTCAACAGATTTATTAGATGGGCTCTCAACAAAGTTTCTTTTGGAGTGTCTACTCAGTGTGCTTAAGTAAATTGTTAACCGTTCCGTTGGACAGCGCTTTCCGGATATACCGGAATAATAGTTATCTAACTAGGCTTTTCACCTTAATTCCCCTGGAAGACAACCGTTTTCCAACGAGGCGAGGACATACATATCTTTTGCTTCTTCCCAAACTATTAGAACATAATCCAAAGTGGTGTTTTAACAGAAACGTAGGTTGTTACAAGTTTGTCTACAATCTGCCTCAGTGTGTTTCAAAGAAGAAGACAAAGCAACTTTCAACTTCTTGTCCTTTCTACTTAGGCTACCATACCTAATGATTAAAGAACCTATGAAATCCGGAGTGGTTTAAACTACCATGACAATTGTCATATAAACCAGTGGCATTCTGTATCGACTGGTAAATCTAAGGTTCCAACTGGTTATTATTCAAGATAAGTACTTAAGCCTGTACTTTGAAAAGAAGTCACATTTTTATTATCACTCCTTATCGTCGAAGGATTTGATTTCCACTACCGGGTTTTAGTTTTTAAAGGATACCTGCGGAGTTTGGTTTAGACAGTTTATTTATTTGAACACATTGGTACAAGAGGGCGCCGAATATATATATATATATATATATATATATATATATATATATATATATATATATATATATATATACGAGTTTACAAAGCTTTACTTGGTTACTGGGTTGATTGTTCAGAGCATGAACTGGAAATTATCAACGTATGTAATTCCTGGAAAAATCTCGTTACATACTTTCGTATATTTCATATTGACAGAAAATCCGAAGATTCAGGGTTATTTAGAATACTGACATAAACAAAACGTTCGGAAGGTGTGTTACCTTAAGTTTTTTATATCTTTGTTGTTTAATATTTGTGTTTATTTTAAACGTTTCAGACCACTTTTACTTTCCCCTTCTTTGCAGATGGGGAAAAAGCACACTTTCAGTTATTCTCGAAATCGGAAGCGATTAGGCAAAAAACAAAAGGCAAAATTAAAAATCAAAAAGTAAGTCATTTTAAGTGAAGGGTCTTAGTTCATTTTACACTTGTAATTTCTCTCTATTTAGTATCAGAGCTTGGTTATATATCAGTTAAGTGTAAGCACCAAATTCATTTGATACCCTCGTTACGTTTGTATCTTCCTTGGTCTTCAAAAATATTTTGTATAAAATAATTATACCATTCACATTCAATAATGTTGCTGTCATTTATCTTCCTTAGCCAGTATTAATCTTTGCGAAATTTTTTAACTGTGGCCAGCTGTTATTTCACATTCTAAACATGTAACTATAGTCGTCTTGTATTGGTTACATTTGACGACACTTATTCCTATCTTTAACTTTTCCTGTTCTTTGAACTGTTGACATCTGATCATTGAGATGATCTCAGTTCAATATGAACTCAGCTGACCTAGTGTTTAAGCTGCATAGTGTCAATGGTTTGAATGTCTTTAATTTCTTTATGCACTAATAAAGTAGTTGTTGAAGTACGATGACTGGTCTTTTAACTATAGGCGGTTAGGCATTTGATGCAGTCATGATATTGCACTAAGTTTACGTACTCTTGCTCTTTAAATTTGTGTTTAATTTCCATTTATTGGATACAAACTACCTCTATAAATTAATTAATATTTAATGATTAATGTTTCATATCAGTCCAGTCATTAATTCAGCTTGGAAGTATGGATTATCTGTTAAATCAAATTTTAACCGTTTGGGTTTAGCTTACGATGCAAATGAAGCACTTGGAAATAATTGTGATCAGGTAGTCTTGTAAGAATTATCTAACTAGTTCTGTTTTTGTTAACTAAAGGTTCTAACAAATGGAGAGTATGGTGATAATGATGCAGTCACAAAAAATATGCCGAGACAGAAAAAGACTAATGTCGTAAAAGGCGAGATTATTCGTTGTTTATTCAATATGTTCTACACTACTCAATTATAGTTTTAGAAGAGTTAGCCAACCATAAAAAGCAAAAACCTGTGTTTGTCTCCGGAGATGATCAGTTGTTTTGCATATACAACTTAGAGATGTATCCTGAGGATGATTTCGAAGTGAGTGCGTTAATTTGAGATATATTTCTTTCTATCTTGTAGTCTATGAGTAGAGATCCAAAGAATGTTTATCAGTTGACATCCAAACAGATCGAACGACTAATCAACAAATTTAAACAAACCACTGGCTTTCAAAAGTATCTCAAAGATAAGCAGTCAGGAGAGCTTGCCATCAATGAGTTGTTTAATGAAGAACTGATGTAAATTTATTATTTTGCTAAAAAAAATATAACAAATATGAATACTATGTTCCTATTTTGTGTATTCACAGAGCCTTATATAAATTCATTCAAACGGAATATTGTATGCCTTAAACGTACAAAATGACCAGTTATAATTTAGATAATGTCACTGATAAAATTGACTAAATATACGAATAGATGACATACAATGTAGCAGTGCACAATTCCGGTGTTATGGATTCTCAAGATAGTACTAAGAAACTTGGAAGTAAGTAATAACATAGCATCAGGACATATCCGTTGCTCTTTATTAATGGCGAGGTTCAAGGATTTACTTACATAAGATCAGTTAGTGAGGTTGTAATGAAAGTGATTTGTAAGTAGTAGGAGTCCAACCGGTTCATTTATTTATTTAAACACATAAACATTGGTACAAGAAGGAACCAAATATGCATGTACCACGCTTCATTTGATTTGTGTAAGGGCTGGAATACTGTCTGAGTGCCAAGACTTAAGTGGTTTCTTTAGAGGATCACTCTTCGAGCCTTTGACCTAGAGGTCTAATCCACAAGGCAGTGGAACAACGTCAGGAGATGCAGTCCCGTGGTAGTCGGTGACCAACAGTAGGCTCATATGCCGTTTTTCCAGCTGGATTCTGGAGCCCATGTGTACCATTGATTTGGAGTCAAGGTTTTCCAACCCTCCCTAGCTGAATTCTCCATATTCATCAACCCGGTTAAAGCCCCAGACATTTACTTTTTGTCCTCTCAGTTTCGTATACAACACCCTTGCGACGAGAAAGTAATGAGTAGGACTTCCATGACAGCGGTTGTATGCGCGTGGCCATGTGAGGACATTTCGAGAGAGCTGACTCTCTCCACCCTCGACCATACCGGGGTATTTTGGCACTGGGTCGACATTGAAACAAAGACCATAGACTGACTGTATCGAGATATAACATTTATTCATAGTTCTTCTAGTCGATTGCAAGTTCAAGGGGAGAAATTTAATATACACTTGTGGAGGTTCGATGAAGAAGCTTGACTGTTGTTGATAAGTTTCACTAAAATAATTTGGTGTATCGATTCTACTGGCGAATATATTTTAAAATTATCGACATTTAGGTTGTATAGATATTTATCAAGACCTGAACGACCAACTTCACAGATTAGGGCCTTAGTTACACAGGAGACATTAAATATAATATATCAGTGTTTTGTCATATACTCAGTTTTCTTTTGTTGCATTGTGCTTGTAATGTGATAAGTTTTTCTCAAATAATAAAAATCAGTAGTCACTATTATTCTTTCATAATTCATATCTTCTCTTCCTATCAGATTTTTCTGGTTGCGTTTCACGACTTTGCAACTCGAACTAATGCAATAGTTTCACAATGTCGCAAAAAATCTTGTTTCTACCACGTTACGTATTGCCACCTCTCCACATATTATTGATTTTTAACGAATATGGACTTAGTTATATTATGCTTTTTGTCAGTATGTTGCGATATCTGACTTTGGTTTGTGATCGTGAAGTTTTTACTAGAATAGTAAAGTATATGCTTGGTGTATGCTATCAATCCTTTTTGACCATTACTTTTATTGTCGTTATTTTGTCTTATTTTTAGATGGTGTCAATTATCCTTGCAGGTTATGTATTACATCTTCATTTTATTTAGTCTTATATAAGTCATGATTGGTTTTAGTGATTTTCGTACGACTATGAATTGTTTTATATTGGAATCTTGCTTGATCTAAATTTTTCAATAGATTTGATGTCTTTATTTCAGCCAAAAATATTCTGATTTCTAATTGTGTATAAGATTGTGGAATTTTGAACGTACTTCTATACAAAAAACTCAGAAACTATAAAGAGCTTACTTCATTGATCAGTCAGTAATTTGGTCTCCGGAATCAATTGTAAATTGAAGAATAAGTATTTCTTTTACATAAACAGATTTTTAAAATCATAAAAACAGGAATGTGTAAAACTATAAGCTCTATGTGTCTTAATATGTTAATTTAAATCTCAAAAGGATACATTGATTCGCTAACTTTTTCATGAGATGGTGGAGATTTGTAGCTCAGGTGAATGATTTTGATGGGGTTTTGTTCTCTGAGCTGGAGAACAAAACCCCATCATAACTTTGTCATGATTTATTTCTGAGTCCTTCAGTAACCAATTTTGTAGTACAAGTATTTTAGTCATAGTCAATGTAGATTGTGGCGCAAATGCATATCAGCTGAAGTTATCGAAACTCATCAGCACTGAAAAATGATTCATAACAAAGAGTTTGTAGTAGTAGTAGTGTCTGTAATTGAACAGAAATGGACATAGAAAATGTCGTCGGAAAAAAAAGAAATCACTTCACAGAATAAAAATTATGAAATAACACCGAATTTGAAGATCTACGAACAGATAAGGGATGGAAGCACCTGGGTTATTATAACCTACTTTAGACCATTTCACTTAAGGACTTTAGCCATTAATTAGAAAGGATTGGAATTTCGGCATTGAGTCTTGCGAATAGTTTTAATACAATCATTCCAACTGTCTACTTTTTTAAGCAAGACTAAATTTTTGTTTGATTATTAAATCAACTACGCTGCAATGGCTTCAGAAGTCGAATATTTTAGAACTTCCGATATTAGAGCAGCATATAAGCTTAAATAACAGCCCTCTACTATAGAAATTCCTTATTTCGCATTATACACTGGGGGAAAATAAGCCTTTATTTGTTTAAATGTCTGATTTTTCATGGTGGAGAAGATTTGTAGCTCCACCATCTCAAAATCACATGAGCGTAATACGCTTCTCGTTGTTCGAAAATGGGAGGACTTCGCCAAAATACAGGCTTCCACTCGAGAACAACTATATCTTCTCCATGAGTCGTCGCCAGCATGTTCTACCAACAAGTGTAAGATACAGACCTCCAATCAACTGCCCATAAGGATGGAAACTAGCTGATCAAAGTGGAAGAAAAACGGTACACCTAATGATAACTACATTTCCATCCCCGTTGACAGTTGGTTGCACAAGCTTGGTATTGTCTTTTGATCCCCAATGTGTTATGACTTGAGATTCTAATTGATATCACTCGCTAGATTTACCAAGCATACTTCGGGTTATCGACTGGTTCACATATACTCCCAGTAGGACCGCTCATCGATTTACCAATCGACACACTAACCAATAAATAACAGTCAATACGGCAATGTTTATTGGTCCTCAAGCTCTTTCTAACCCAGTAGCCAACCAAAAGACTAATAGAAGGCATATTATTTCTCTATTTTACCCAGTTCATCAGTGACTTGAAACTCAGACAATAATATACTTGGAACGACTGACTACATAACACAGTGAATAAGGAACCACACTTTAAACACAATCATATCATAAGTGGTAGAGTGCGGAGCAAACAACACATAGTTTATTCGCAGTGACTAAGGAATAGTGAACCGTGCAACAACATTTAATAGGTCAATTAAAAGCTTTCCATAAGGTGAATATAGAAATACAACAATACAGTTATCTACTATTTATTCAATAAGAAAGTATAAGTAATAGTCCGTAAAATTATTCCGATAGTTCCAACTTCCCTAATATTCGTCCCGTTTTAAAATTTGGGGAGAATGGGGATGTATGTTTGTGGCAGTCTTATAGTTTTAACATGAATTGCATTCCTGAATATAGTATTGTTTCACGAATTAAAATTTATTACGGTTTGCAATACTTTTACCACAACCATTTGACTCATCAATAACACGACTGTAGTCACTTAATCACTTATTAAATATTTTATCTCCTCTAAAATGAAATCCAATTAGATGGATCACAAGAATATGTAAACATCAAAATCCAATTTCTTTCACCCTAGTTAAAGCTAGCAACCAAAATGAAAAAACGAGTAATATCTCATAATAACCAATATATTTCATTGTGTAACTGTACCACTTTCCAATAATATACTGAGTACTCATGTTTATTAAATTATAATGTTGCTAATCAAACACTTTGTCTACTGGGGTACTATAAACTTTTCTAAAGATCTATGTTCTTTAAATAAAATTTGGTAGCTGTGACTTGGGTTATGATTTCGTGGATCGAAAAACGTAATTTTGTATCTACTTTTTCTTCTTTTTACTCTTCCCAGTCTTTTTTGCACTTTTTCCTGTTTTCTTTTTGCTTTTTCTCGCCCCTCCTTTCTTTATAGATTTTGTTTCTGGTTTCTTTGTAGACGGTACATATTCAACGCGTTTTCCAATACATCTTAACTGAAAATGGATTTAGAAATAATAAAGGACTGTAAGATAAAGATTGACATTATTTGAAACGTTTTCGCTGAACGTGTCGAACATAATATGGGGATTTGTTTCTATGTCGTTATATATTTGATGATTGTCTCACTAATTATATACTAAATGTTTGAGATAATAATGAGCCATTTTTATGAGAATATTTCGTCTCCTTTGTTCTCTGTGCTAGTGACTGGTAATATCGCATCACATTTTTCTGATCATTTTTACATAAGGCACCAGTGTAAACAAAATAGAGATTGGCTATCTATATTAGGTTAACTATGTGCTATAAATCTGAAACTAACAACATCTCACCAGATAGATCTTGATGCTTCAAAAACAAATAAATCCCCAAATCATTATCAATTCAAATTCATAAAAACTTTATTTGTTAGACAAGAACTGAAATATGTCCCTGAGCCACTTGTTTTTACCTCACGCAAATTTGTCTACTTATACATTCAGTGCATAGACATCAGTTAAGTTACTATAAGCATTAAAACGTACCTCTGAATACGATCTATTCCTAACTGCCGAATGAGATGCTAATTAAACCAGTGTAATCTAATTGCATAGACAAGATTTTCCATTCATCAAAGTCAACTAAATTCCGCTCAATTTTTCCCTTTCTTACTACTGCATAAAACCCGAGTAAGGCTAGGTTATGGGTTTTAAATCCATATGAAATATGTAAACGGTAGCTGAGATAAGTAGATGTCTCCAGGTTCTTATAAAACTAAGTAAAGTGTTGGGAATTTACCTGATTGCAAACAAAACAGTGGTCCTCAGCTTTCATTTTTCCTTGAAAGTCTCCGACCAAACAAACTTTACAAAATCTTGTTCCACACCACTTGCACATGTATGTCTTAATAATTGATTATCATTCAGTACGTGAAACGATTTTAAGATACTGTGTCGTTTGCCTGACAACCCCATCTGCACATTTAGATGCAGTTTTTAATTTAGCTTGCGGACAGAAATTTCTTAAACGTTTTAAGAACCACAAATGGTACTGGAATCACCTGTGTTACAATGTGTCAAGAATCTAGAGATAACATATGATAATGACATTTCAACAATGAACGGGATGTATATTCATTACTCTGGTTATACTTACATATAACTGTGCTAGCAATCGAAAATAATTAGAAATAGAGATAAAGTTGATAAATAAATAAGCTTCCAATCTTCCTAAGAGTTTTTCATACTAATGCACAAATAGGAAACTTAGTTACCGTCAAGGTTGAAAGTGCAATACTGATATATTCAAAAGATTACCACAATATCAGAATTCAGAAATAACTGTATGATTCCATATGGAGCCGGTATATTTTCACTATTTTAATAGGGGTTGATAGTCCTATAATGACAAGGTAGTACTTACATTCAATGTCTTTGTCACGAACTTGGACGTAATAGAAACTTAACAGGCTCCCGTATCTAGTATCAGTAGGTCAGTGATGTCTCTAGGTAGGAACCTAGGTATATTTTACGGTGAAAAAAGAAGTGTCAGTAAATCATAATGAGATACTGCCCTCAGCCCGTAATATTATGTTAAGTTTTCTGATAAAGAACTTCTGGGAACTCCTTTGGACTAACTCAGCCGGAAGTGAATCCCGAAATTCGACTACCCTTAAAGCATGAGATTTGTTCATACATTCAATTCCCCTGTGTTATGTCTCTAATTTCTCGGTGTTTCCCTCAAATTTTGCGTTGGGACTGAGCTTAACTAGGTGATTGAGTGGATGCCCAAGAGCGTTTAAAACGATGTAAGTCATTAGAAGGTCAACTCTAAGACGCCTGTACTCTAATGAGTAAAGGTCCAGTGATTGGAGACGCCCTTTATAGAGCTTGAATTTGAGCCCCCGAACTGGTTTCGTGGCTAACCGATGGATAAGTTCCAGAGTTTCGTTATCCTTCTGGAGTGAGAGAGGAAATACTATGTTTCAGTAGTCTAAACTGAGACGAATAAAAGTGTTTAAGATTATATGGGAGGTTCTTCCATCACACTGGCCAAAAATTATATCTGAAATTATCAGGTCAAGGGTTTGCTCGAAAGACATTTTTGTCTCAGTTACCGTAAGACTTCAGATTGCAGGCAATCAACACTTAGATCGTTTTCAACTTGGGATACCATCAGAGAAGAGTTACCTACGTTGTATTCGTAGCCTGCAACATGTAGACTACTTTACGCTTTAAAGTATTCAAATAAGGTCCGATGGTCCTCGTCCAACTTCAAAATCGAGCCAGATCCTGCCAAGGTGTCAGCTTATAATCTTGGTTTCGAAATTCTTCACAAAGTTTCACGTCGTGGGTGATTCTTGATGATGGTTCTTTGTAGGTTCTATGTAATTTCTAGGGACCGCTTGTGGGTCAGACTGTTTTGCAGCACTCGTGATTGTGTGCAGTATGAAATCCCGATGTACGTCTACATCAAATTGAAGGCTGTCCAGTTCGCCCGTTGTAAATTGACCTGTAAAGCTGACACATCCAACCGTTTGTAATTACAACGCCTGTTGTCGGTAGGCAGCCAGGATTAACAGGTTATCACTAAGTAGTTCCTCGTTTGAGAAGATCCAGTTTAAGCGTGACGGCTTCTGATTGTTTCGTCACTGAGTCAATAACTTTGTATCTTTGAACAATCCCTGATCTTCCAGGAGATTAAAGAACCGTGTTTCACTAAAGTTTTAACCTCCAATGTTTATGCGTCTAGTGAAATCGGTTTCAGGAAGATTGAGTTCTCGACTAGTCGGGATATGTGTGTCCAAAATGGACAGACAAAAATAATTACCTCAGCATACGATTATCCCACTCGGTGTTAAAAATGGGTTTCCCGTAGATGACTTTAATAAGACACCTCGAGGTTTCGGACAATCTCCCTAAGAAACATACAGATTCATCAAGATTAATAAACACTTTAGTGTATGTATGATGTGCCATCAAACAAGACCGTAGGTCCAGAGCTGCTCCACCTCCCATTTATGTTTTTCTGTCGTTAAGGGACAAATGCATGCCAGGTATTCCCAACCCCTGGTTCACAATTTGAGATGCTCATGCTTCAGATATTCTTATCAGATAAGTATTGCTTTGGTCGCTTAGTTCATCTAATTCATCCATTTTGTCTGAAAAACTCTAAGCTTTCGTATATAGGCAGTATATGCATTCCATTTGAAACAAGTGAGCTCCTGTATCCTGTTTATGTGAATGAGGCTTATATGAACGAACAGGTAACCTACCTAAACGGGGTTTTTCGACTTGGTAACCCGTTTCCATCCTACATATTTTCTTTGTTATCGGCAGTCAGCAAGTGGAACCGTCAGTTCAGATCTGCTTTTGTGCTTAACCCTCGCATCATGTGACCTGTCGGCACGCATTCTGATACAAGGTGGTAACCGGCGTTCGTTGTCAAGGGGTGCACCGAGAAAAGCACCCACTGTTACGGGAGAACTGAAGACATTTGGCGGATTAAAACCTTTTATTGTACATTAATAATTTACTGTGTTTTTGGATGTAATTGTTTTACTTAACTTTTGACATTGTTTGTTTATATCATTATTTCGGACATTTTGGTTTGGTATTTTGGTGCTCTCTTTGTCTTTGGTTTGGTATTTGGGAGTTTTGCTCCGGGAACCTACAAAATTGAAGGTTTGTTTTGTAATTGTTATAATTATTGTTGTTAGAACGACATTTGGTCGATTACTTGTGAATTACGAATAAATTTGGTATCTAAATTGGGACTTGGTTCTGTTGTTAATTTGGGTTCGTAATTTGCGAGTAGATCGATAGTCCGTACTTCAATAACTGGAACGATCAAAACTTGGACGTAACACCCACTACTTGGGAGAGTGTGAAGGTTACATTCACCAGTTTGGATCTAAATTCCCCGTTTTTCTTGATGATTGCACCACTTGGGTTAATATGTTTTCAGGGTTAAAGGACTGCTTTATGAACTTCTACACTAGAATATCTCAGTCCGCGTAATTAGGGTCTACGTTTTTTGAAACAACTTGCACAAAACTACTTCTTCCTCAAAAGAACGTCTCACGAAATCCATTTGAGATGTCCCTGATTAGAATGCGCTGGAAATATGGTTTGTCAGGAAGTATTCTCACATCTTCTGATTTCGGCAAGTGACCGGTCAAGAGAGCGTTTTGTACGTCATCACTGATAGCGAACGCTGAAGAAGGAGTCGTGGATGGTTTTGGTGGATGGCGTTCTTCTCTCGGAAAAAGCCATACAATCAGTGGTGGCTCAATTTTGGGAAATCTGGGCTTACTATCTGACTTTCCTAGACATCCTGTCGTTTTTGTCTTGAGAACTGAGAGAAAGGTCAGGGCCATCTTCGTAGTTTATGATTGTGAGAGAATTATCGCGAACTCTAACTGAATTTCCCAGGTTTTTGAGTACGTTAATATTAGAGTACCTTCGTCATGATTACCGTGCATTTTGTTAACACGTTGGACAAACTTGGGAGTAGACTTCACGACAGATTCTTCAGCTGATTTTCTTAAAATATCCACCATTTTGGACGGTGACGCTCTGTACCATTTACCTCGGCTGACGGAGGTCCAGTCGTTCACAGTAGTTGTTTTGGAAACCATAGGTGTATTTGTGGAGTCCCTAATGAGAGACACAAGTTCATGGAATGTCTAACACTGTTATTGTTATGGTGGTGCTGAGTTTCCGCTAATGTTGGTGATCGATTCATCAATACAAATGTTCTCGAATACCATCTTATTCAACTCACCATTAGCCTTTATTTGTTACCGTATCAGGACGCCTTATTTCAGGGTTGCATACAATTTTTCCTCAAACCTATCAGGAAAACGATATTATTCAGCAAATCCTCAGAATTAATATTGTATATGTCACTTGTCCACTTGCGATCTGGTTTACTAAGTCTGTTGTAGACAATTGGTGGGAGATCTATACATGCATTTATGCATGTATAAAAAGACCGATCTATTTAATCCCACTTACTGTTACTTCGATACCGTTCTATATGAATGTGAATTTCCAATGGGTGGTAGTCTAGCCGCTCAAATATACCAATTTTAATCCATTTTGGTAACTACTTATGAATTTGTAAATTATGTAGTTCAGTGACTGCGTTTGTCTCAGGACAGCAGGGATCGCGGATACCATAAGTCATCACTTTATAAGGTAGGAGGGTGTCTGGTTGTCACGTGAAAATAGTGAAGTGACAATTACAGTACAAAGAGGAGGCGATTCTTTCAAGAATAATAAGCAAGTTAATTTATTGTCAATGTGTAAGAAGACGGATTTTAATGAATAAGAGGGGAAACGGAAATCATAATAAGAGACGCGGAAGACGGTTGCCAAGTTTTGTTAGTGATAACCGTGTTAATTTGTAAGAAATGTATCAGACACAGGTGGTTTAAGGAGGAGATGACAATCCATGGGCGATTATTTGCCTGTTGAGTCTCCTCTTAAACTTATAAACTGATGGGCCTGTGCTCACTTCGGTCTAGACAGCATTCAAAATGACTTCAACCCTTGATGAGAAAAGGAGATAACGTACCTGGATGTTCGCTCTCTGGTGAAGGATGTTTCTAGAATTGCCTCGATGAGCGTGGTGATAGTGTCCTAAAATTATACTGGTGTTGAGGTGGCTTGGAGAGCCAAATGCTTTGTATTCCAATATCAGATCACCCCTTATTTTCTTACTTGATTTATCAACAGATGGAATGCTTCGTTTCTAATTATAATGTGGTCATACATAATCACGCAAACTACATTGCGTACAAAAGTTACTGTTAGACGGAATAACATTTTAGTTTCACTAATAAAACAGCTTCAGCTTCTTAATTTCTTAACGATTCATTTCAAATGGTGGATTTCAACCAAAGATTTGGTGTGAAATAATTGTCCTTGACTTGCGTCAAGTGCTGAACTTCAGTGGTCGAAGGGCACTACGCAAAAAATGCGAGATGATCTTTTTATAATGCGCTTGCCAACTAGTTTATGTCATGAATGCTGTTGAATCTACCTGATGAATTACGTTCATATAAACAAATTTTGTATGTATCTAAAGGAATACACGCAACCCCTAAACTCAACCAATTCGGAACGACGAATAACTGTTTATGTTACTTTAGTTACGCTCTGTTGCTCGGTAGAATCCATAACACGGTAATTAGGTAAATTAAGTTTCTAAATCTAATTTTGAATTCAAACATACATTCTTACCTAAACAAATATTTCCGCCCAGTTATTCAGCCAATAATCGTTCAACCAGTAGTCAAGTTTAAATATAATTAAATAGATGAATTGATAAAGGATATATGGGACTTACCAAGTGCAACAAATAAATCAACATATCAGCACAGGAATGTTATTCTACCCTTTCTGGGCATATCACATGCAAATTGTTAGAATGATAATATTTAATTTTGCTACAACACGAACTGTTCCCAATTCTGGGCGAATGCTTCGATTCACGATGAAAACTACAAAATGCCGGTCAGTTCAAGCAAATCAATACAACGAGTGAGCGTACGAATATGACAGCTGCCATAACTCAATAACAGCCAAAGCATCATAGATGTAGTTCAAGAAATAACAAAAAAAATTGGTGAAGACGTTGGTTAGATAAAATGTTTACGTAAATAGAAAAATGGTACAAATAGTGAAATAAAGATATCAACTAAATGCACACCAGAAAGAATCAAGAAGAATAGATCACAACGGTGTGTACGTGGACGGATTATCATACACAAAACTTTCATAAAGGATCTTACATTGTATGTGTTATTTCTTGACTTGTAGAGTTGCAAATGTTGGGTACTGAATTTAGATGCCTTTCAGTTTTTGTACAATTAAATTTAATATACCAACTAGGAAGTTTCCTGGTCAAGCCGGCATGTGCTGTATTTGTAGAAAACGAGTCAGGACAGAAGACGGAGGACTAAAGTGAAAGTTGGAACCTCACGTTATTTAAACCAGAGTAAAATATGCTATTATGCGTAACATTCAGCAAGTGGACAAGAAAATGCTGGATAATTTACGGATTTTATAAGTTGATAGGGAAGTACGTTACAAATTCACATATCCAAAGTGTGAAATTGTCAGTGACTGATATCATGGCTACAACTTTTCGGCGAACACTTTTCAGTGCTCGGAAAGGGAATTTAGCGCTTTCTGAAGTCACGTTAATGCAAATCCTCCACTCTACTATCAAACACAATAATTCGTTTCTGCCTTGTCGGATACACGAGCGAATCTACGACCATATGTATGCTACAGAACGCGTAGTTAGATTTGAAATGCATACATTAGGTGTGCATATAATGTATACCAGGACATAAGCTGTTACAAGAGTTTCATTTAAACCTATGTATATGCTCTAGAATACATAAGCATCCGCTCAGATTTTTCAGGTCTTCACATACGGTCTACTCGCCCTTAAAGAAAGTCCTGTAAATTTAACCCTCAGTATTCATCGATATTCGTTTGCCGTCGCAAAAATACATCTTTTCCCAGGTATGTATGCAGTTAGCGCAAATTAAATGTTATTCAGATAAGCAATAGGCTTCTCCATCAGGTTCCATCAAACTTCGTGACTAGGACAGGGATGAAGTCCAGGAGATTAACGCTGATGAACCGCGCAGTTGAATTTGTAAGTGTTATGTCCAAACTAAAAATAAACGAGCGACAACTTACAGGAATTATTTGTGCACTATTATTATGTATATTCTTGTCGTATAATTATTAAATAACTAGGTCATACATATGTATATGTAACAGCTTACATTCATTGGTTAAGAGTTGACTCCAAACAACCAAGTATCTGCCAAAACAATGGAGCTAAAGTATTCATTCACTTCCTTATTTCGTATAGGCATTATATTTCCTATTATCTTATAATGGATGTTGAAAAACTTTGTGTATTTGAACAGGTAATCCCCCACTCCACGGTAACTGTTTCGCGATCTAAATAAAAATTTAACGAATGCTAGCCTGGTTTCTTCTATCAATAGAACGAGGGTCGCCTATAGGCACGAAATATATTCTTCTTATCATAAGTTTTCACTTGACTCATTACCTAACGTTATACGATTTTCAACTTTTCATTTATCTCCAATCTACTATTTATAGTCTCATATTCACGGGCAATTTTGGCTTAATACTATGTAATGATTACTTATCATGTTATGGTGTGGTGCGGTATGGTCTGCTTGTATTTAAGCCGCAAATATCTGAAATATGTGATTTTTATAATGAAGGCTGATATTTTTATTTTCGACTGATGTGACTGGGCCAGGAAAGAAGCTTCTATATCGAGTATCAATAGAGGATCAGAGTTGACACAAAGCTGCCAGAATTGGTTGACGTGTTGTTGGCGGGACAAAGATTGGATTAAAGCATGTTCGATGCTCGATTGAGTTGGTGCGCGCTGATTGACTAAGAATTAGTCAACTTTGGAATTAACAACTGTGATATCCATCACTTCCTGTGTAGACGGCACACATTCTATCTTGTAACATCCACAGTTTAGCGCAGTTCTCGGAATAAAAATAATCAGGGTCAAAACTCAAATAAGATATGGTTGTTTTCTATAAAAACTGAACGAAGTATCAATGGCCGTTGTAATCAGTGAAAATCAATCTAAGGGCGGTCGAGAGTAACTAATTCTTAAGTCAACTTTAGAGAACCCTATGTAACAATTAGGTCAACTATGATTATCGTTGACCTTAATACTGGTTAAAATTTTCCCTAACTAACGGGGATTTGGATTCAGGCTAGTCAAGTATTGTTGGATTCAAATAATGCGACGAAAACCGAAGTAATACCATTCCAGATTAGTCTCAATGTATCACGAACGTTCAGGGCTCGACGAAGTATTTTCTGTGACCTTCTTGTGATTAAGGGAGCCAAAACCTAATCGAAGTAAAAGTCAGGGATAGAATAATATAAAAACTTATTTGAAAATTGGCCTTTGTGTAGAGAAGCAGGTGATCTAAGTTGATTAGCTGCTGTAAGGGTTGTGCAGAACGGCGTACTAAACGGCGTTCTGGTGCAGATGCGTAAACGCGCGCCTCCAGCGAGGATGTGTCTGGCTAAGTAAATGTAGTCAGAGTCGACGCCGAAGACTTGCCGAACCATTTTCCGCTACAAACAGAACAACTTCAATAAGCCCCATCCCGTTAATTTGAGATATCATCTGCAAAGTCCCTCTTTTTTCAGTAGGATCAGTTCGATCCAAACCGGGATCCATTATGAAAGTACTCAAAACTTTTTTCGATAAATGACTGAAGCGAGTTGATCTGATAGACATATTTCTGCAAAAACAACTTTGAAAATCTACATGATTAGATGAGTGATTTTAAGTCATGAATCACTTCCATCACAATGCAAATTAGGCGTCAGGTAATTAACCAATAAAAACTTATCCTATTTTATGGATATAGGATACATGAGATCTAAAATTCTGAACCTCACCAAGTGAATATTAGACACTGAATGGAATTTATTCAAGGTTTGAGCTACAAGTGGTAACATTGGTCACCGGTTTGTGTGTGATTGTTAAGACTTCTGTTGTATCGCGAGTTATAACATAGTCCAATCACCCTTCAGATAAAGAAATTCAGCATTCTACTACAAAAACATGAAACCCAATAGCTTTGTCACAGGCTTGTAAAGACCAATTAGACTATAGTCCAATTATAATTAGTCTATACAATATTTAATTGATATTTAAGTACGGTTCCAAGTATTTGGTACCCATCATTCGCGAATAAGAGTGACGAATTTCTAAAGACTCGAGAATTCTTACTGTCATCTTAGGACTAGTAATCGACCTATATAGGTCGTATGTGGTATGTTAACATATCACTTTTTACAGGCTTTTACTCAGGGCCTCTTCATTGATTTTATTCTTGTTCGATGATCACAGAGAGTTTCCAAACTAAGGTTTCCATATGCCTCTTATTCTTAAGTTTTAAAGTTACCGCACTAGTTCTTTGTAAAGATCCTTAATAAACGGTCAGCAAATATGACGTCGAAGATGAACTCCGTTCTTGAGGTGCCTCTCAATCTCCTAACTTATCACTAGGGAGATTCAAGCTAATTAGTGGGCTCTACCGGCCGGTACGAACTGTGTTATTCCAGTGTTAGTAAACTAAGTAGTTCTACGTGTCTAGGAAACTTGTCTCAGTAAACTAAAAACTAGTATCAGTTTGTTTCGAGAGATATTACATGGACATAAGAAAATGTTAGTGCATGAAATGCCTAGGAGTTATAGATAATAACAGTTTTTTATATTTATCTAATTTTGTAGATGAGAGTACTTATTTCTGCAAATCCGAGAACAACTTGGGTCCCCACTTGATAATCCTATGATAGATGTAAACAAAATAAGTTCGACCCACATTAAAGTTTAAATTGCGGACTATATTAGTTTTTAGTTCACTTTAGGAGGAAAAGTGTTCTTCATCATAAATTTCTGTAACATTTAAGAGAATGCTAGTTAATAGGCATTTCGAAGTAGTTGACCAAAAAGGACTGCCCTCTCAATTCTCTTATCCTCCTTTCTAATTTTCCATTCATATAAAGTTTCGGTGTACAAAGTCATTCATGTACTAGGTCCTGTGTTGTATATGCAGGTTTCATGACCATATTGTCGAATCAGTCCAGTGACCCTGTAATTTCTTTATCTATGTTACATAAAAACCCACGAAATCATTTAAGTCTTCCATAATTTATTTTCCCTTACTTATGTTGTTATCGTTCGTTCTTAAGTCATTATCCTTTAGATCATTTTTAGTATTGCCAAGTCTAATAAATGTTCTTCACATGTGATGAAACACGAACATACAAATTTACCCTGTTTGGCAGGTCATTTTGTAGCTTTCTCATGACTTAGTGCCAACAAGTTATAAAAAGCCTCATGTACACATCTTGAAAAGATCACTAGATTCATCTGTAGGCGTTTGATATACGGAAATACTTCCAGTGATCATCCAGTCAAGGAATGTAGTCTGACATGTGTGCATCGGTTCAAGCTGCTGCACTATTAGCACATCAAAGTTGTGCTGTGGTAGTAACATTATTAGTGCAAATAGGAGAGATTATACAGCAATGTCTTTGTAGTGATGTTTTTATATTATTCAAGTGTCTTACTTAAAGCATGTAGAAATGATTTTCTAATAAATAAAGCCCTTTTTGCATACGGTGGTATCTGTTATAAGGTCAATTAATCTTTTTTCACCATATATTGGATTATTTTAGCATCTATCGTAATTTATAGGAATCATACGGTTCCACTTCAGACCAACGTTCTAAATAACCGTATATTATTCGAAATACAAAAGAGCTATCATATAAATGGGTAAGCATTCTTTCAAACACAATCCTTATGATTTCAGGTGGTATATTTAGTCTGTTTTCCCGACTGTTTGGAAGTAAAGAACGGAGAATCCTCATCTTAGGCTTAGATGGAGCCGGGAAAACGACAATTCTCTATAGGTTACAGGTTGGTGAAGTGGTAACAACCATCCCTAGTAAGTCCTTAATTTTCGATAGATTCTTTATAAACGGTACTTTTTAGTGGTACTTAAATAGCCATAATCGTAATATTTAAACTCAGCCAAAAAATCTTAGTGTAAATTTCGATAAAAGTTCTATTTTCAAAAAAAGAAAATCTGTCCATCCCAAACTAATATGAGGTGTAAGAATAATTTATATAAACATATTTTGTGAAAATACTCTTGGTAGCTTATAAAAAACTGTTCATAAAAAGAGAAGAGGTATGCTGTTTGGCGTACAACACTCTTATTCCCTACTAGTTTAAGTCAGTAAGGAAGTGCTCTATATATATAGTTCATTGCTTTACAAAGTAAGAATATAATCGGTTAGTTATTAAAACGTTATTATTTAATATTACGATATTAATCAGCAAAAGTCTTAATTCAAACACGAAAATATAATTCCTATACAAGCGAGCGAAGTTAATGGTTACTAGTTTAATAGATGAATATTTAGTATCGCATAACGAGATATTTTCTCATACTTCCGGTCGTATAAAGGGATAACGCATATTTATTACTGTCCTGGGGTTTTAAAATATAGTTAGTTTAAAAAATCATTTAAAGTTTTTGAAACTACCTTCATTTTTGCCTTGTCTTTAATCAAAAAACGATTTGTAACAGTTAATCAAAGTTTAAGAACAGGTTTAAAGTTTATTTGGTCGAAAAATGTATTGGAAATGAATATTTTAATAACTCAATTATTTCCCTGATATCCAAAGTATGTAAGTTGATACGAACCGAGTTACAAACGAGCATGTAAAATATTTACCGTTATCTATCAGTATAAACTAATTATTATTCCGAGCTTTCTCATATGAATAGTAAAAGTCCAGATCGGTCTAAATAGCACTGCTTATTTCTCACGATAACCACTAAGTTCTGACTCAAATGTATCACAAAGGTCAAAGTTCCTAGATATATTTCCAGAGATAATGTGGATTAAATATTAAAATGTCCGAAGTATGAATGAAGTAACCATCCAATATCCCATCTTTTATTTGTTCTTAGCTCTGTTTTTAAAAGCTATTGGCTCATATATATTTGATGCCCTCTTGTACCAATATTTATATGTTCAAACAAAGAAATAAATAAACCCTAACATTTTGGACTAACTATTTTAGACTTTTTGAGTTAAGTATTATTTATGCTAACTGCATATACTGCTTCGATTTGGGCACCCGAGCAGTATCCCAGCCCTCACACAAATCGAATGATTTATGTGGTGCATATCTATTTGGTGCCTCCTTGTACCAATATCTATGTGTTAAAATAAATAAACTGTCTATTTAAAAAATTTCATAAAGCTTTTCCTGAATAATTAAGATTTGAATGAATATGAAACAAGAATTTATTGCGAAATTACACTATTGATGCTGAAAATTCTTTACTATGACAAAATTCATAGCATTAAATAATACTATTATTATTATTATCAATAAAATCACTGAATTCCATATCAATATGACCTCTTTTTTAAAACAAAGAGACTCATCAAAATTCTTTAGAATTATTGATATACATATTCTCTTTTTTTCCAAAATCTCAGCTATTGGATTCAATGTAGAAACAGTTGTTCACAAAAATCTTAAATTTCAAGTATGGGATTTAGGCGGTCAAACTAGTATTCGACCATATTGGCGTTGTTATTATGCGAATACCGATGCTATTATTTATGTAGTGGATAGTATGGATAAAGATCGAGTTGGAATTTCTAAACAAGAATTATTTTCTATGCTTGAGGTAAGTTTGTTAATTTAAACTTAATTCATGTATTAACTAATAATGATTTATAGTTGTAGGTATGAAGTTGTGGTTGTTGTGTTTTATTGAGATCACGAACCGACCTATGAGAGCCATTGAAAACCCAAAAACACGAGCAGTGGAGTTCAACCGTGTTGGGTGTAAGGAAGTCACCTACCGAATACAATGAAAAATGGCCGCCTAGTATCTTCTACACCATTAAATCTTGACTCAATGGTTTAGAGGTCAAGTGTTCGTACTCGTGACGGCGAGTCGTAGATTGGGTTCTTGGTTGCGGGGTCGTAGATGCAATCTGTTGATGATTCCCATACTAGGACTGAGCTGCTATCCAGTGCTTTCACGTTTCACTGGTTATTTAACTTAAATCAGTTCGTGATCTCAATAAAATTTACATTCGTGTTTTTTATTAACCCCTACGAGTGACGTTCAGTATTTCTGTATTTTTTTATTCAGTGGTTTCAACGTTCTCACTTATTCTTTAGATGAAGTTGCTTATTCTTGTACCACGTAGAATGAATTTATTTCAACAAGTAGCTGACTATTTTGTGACAGAATTTACTGTATTACTTCATTTGATTTTTCCTCGATATACTAAATTCTTAGCGTACTCAGACATTGTTGATACAGCCTACATCAAAATATTCCTTAAAAACGTGTGTTGAATAGACGGTTTATACTCTATCATAGATGTGTCACAACATATTAACGTGGAGAACTGGAGCGCAAGTTATGTTAGGTCTTGTTTCCCAAATTGACTTTCATATGGTATTAAACAGCTAAAGCAATAAGGGTTGTAGAATAAAATAAATTCATCAACCTATTTCACGGTTTCTCATCAGCTGCATACAACTTCAAAGTATATTTATTAACAAATTTTTAGCATACTATAGTTTGTGAAGTTTAGATAGATGCTCATGACAATCAAAAATCGTGATAATCAGAAGAATAGGGAAACAAAGTGTATGAATAAACATAGTTAATATCGATGTGTTTTTATATGTGAAGAAGTAATAATTAAGAGATTATGTAAGAGCAGCGAATTTAATATGTGATTGAGTAATCTCCCAACATGGCAAAACAGACTGTTATGTGAAAATCATTAATATTATGTAAGAGATAAATATCAGAAGACGAAAAAATAATAAAAACGTTGAGGACATTGTTGAAAATGAATAGAAGTTATGAGATAAACATCCAACCACACCATGGCAGGAAATGTCTAATCGAACTTTCTTTCTGTATATATAGGTCAATTCGGAAACGCTTGATAGTGATCGTCTCTGTAAAATGAAGTAAGATTGGTGTTTTTTGTCTGCTGACTATTTAGATCTTAGTGTAAGACGAAAAAGTGATGAAAGTCTTGAGAAAAGTATAAATACGGAAAAAACGTGGACAGAACAGTATTTGAACTTTACCACTCACTTCCTAGTAGAAGTAGGCGTAGACATTCTCCAGAATGATAGTGAAAGCTCCACAATTGAGTATACAGTTTTCGTGTTAATAATTTCACTTTATTGATTTTTTTATAAAAAAATATTGTACTAAAATCTGTAAGAACTGACTTGCTATAGCTGTTAAAGAAATTGTTCAATACAGTCACTGACGTACTAAATAGGAACTTACTTTTTTTGCAGAGTCTTTTGATGACACTGAGCAACAATACCAGGATATTTGGGATGCGTTCCTTCTCTTCTAAATGCAAATTGTTGCTTCAGGACTGGCCTGTGTCAACACCTAAGCTAAGGATAGGGAGTGAATTAGTTGACAACTTCACTTATCTTAGAAGTCTGATAAGTCCTAGCCATAGAACAAGAACTCAAATCTTGTCCAATTGCGTCAGCTTAACATTCGGTCAATATCCGATTAACTGATTGTATTACCACTCCCTCCTGAAGGGAAATAAGTCTGGTCTCTTGAGTTCAGCTTTATGGATTTAGATGGGAGCATATAATTCTTTTAACCTAACGAATTATTCAAGGAAAGCATACTCTTAAATTTATATCAAAATATAATTAGTGAGCCGAGAAGCCATCTACAAGCATTTCTTTGAGTGACGTTATTCTGGTTCAATGTTATATTTATTGGTCCTTATTCATTGGTTGATACAATTGTTGTTCTTAAATACGGTTCTATCACTGAACGATAAATACTTACAACAAGTATTGCTTCGATAAGCTTTGTATACGATGGGTTCGATGTATTAATATCTCATGAACAGCAAGAGTTGCAAACAAAGTTTATTGTTCTTACTGATCCTTTGCTAATGCGTGGAATATTTTCATGTGACACAGACACCTTTTCTTGTTACTGTACTTGGTTTATCGAATTGATTGAATTTCTTCATTTCCATCACGGACTAACCTTAATTAGAAAGCTATTCAAAACCGTTAAACAGGGGATAGCGATTTTATCTTACTATAAGACTCTTCTTCAACAATACACATTCACGATCCTATAGGAAATTGAGCTTAGGACCGTCTGATCTCACTATGAATGTTGGATCTTTAAACTACTGAACCGTCCTTTAATGTCTTACATGCAATATCACCAAACAATTATCCATTGCTACTGTTAATTAACTACTTCACACACACACACATACACACCGTAATTGAATTGTTGTTTAGTCAGGTTGTATAGTATTTTGTACAAAAATGTTTTACATTTCGATCGCCTTGATACTTAAATAGTAACCTGATATACACAGATTTTTATGTGTTTCTATTTAAATAGAAAAAACTTGGTTAATATTTCAGAATTATTTCACCTTGTTTTGATTGTAATTAGGTATATTGATTTTTTTAATTTCTAGCGGTGATGTAACTTACATTGCGTAAATTAAGAGTAAATTTTACTGAATGAAATTTGTTGATCAGATTGTATAGATGAGGGTTTCAATTCTCACGGTTATAAAAAGTCTACTTATTGTGATGTGATGTGGGCTCCAGTATGCTGAAGGAACAAATGGATGACGAACAAATCGTTGGTCATTGTCTTCCATGGGACTGCATCTCCTAACTTTTCTCCACTGCCTCGTGCATTAGACCTTTAGGTCAACGATTCTGGGTTTGGCCCCCTAAGAAAACCACCTGCTTCGGTTCGGGCACCCGAGCAGTATCCTATCCCTCACAAAAATCGAATGATTTATGTGGCGTATATCTGTTTGGTGCCTTCTTGTACCAATGTTTATGTGTTTAAATAAATATAATAATATTAATAATAAACAATTGAACTATCTAGCTCTAAGAACTCCAAATCAACATTGATATAGCCATTCGTCGTACAGGGTGGACGGAATAGTTATCAATAATTTTGAGTCACTACGTATACAGGTGTACTATGTTGATTGAATTAGAACTAGGAAGAAGCCAGTTATGCTTGATCAAGTCACAAGACTTGACGCAACAACCGATAAACCCACTGATCGATAATATACTCCAATACATATTTCCTGGCCAATAACCATATATTTATCTGCATCACAATAGTTGGAGTCTTAAAGACACATTTGACCTGCCGTACTCCATTTTCAATTATCCTTGGAATTTTTAAATTTTAATTTATTTTGTACTTCCCACTTCTCTTTATCGGTTGTTTTATTTACCATTTGTGAGTTTTTATTTCTTATTCACTACTATTATTTTTCTTTATTTTACTACTACAGTGTTGTGACAACGTGAAGCGTTGCTTAATTATACTGAGTTCTATATTCATTGATTCACTGGTTTTAGGCATATATCTATATATAGCAGATCTTTTAAAACAAAATTGAAATCAATTTCTATTAAAATCAACTTTAGTGACGTTAGTATTTTTCAATAGTTTTAATTAGACTAGTCACGGCATTAGAATACTGGTCATTCAAACTATCAAAGTGTTATAGATTTTTAATTTTATTACCAAAATTGACGTAGTTTAAAAGTAAAAGACTGAATAAATTTGATTTTAGCTGACCCAAAATCGTTTGAAAACCTTTAAATTGCTCGTTTTCTTCTACTTATATGTTATTGAAACGTATATTTGATACATATTACCGCTGATACTGTTGCCACTTCTACTATTTTGGGATTTGGTTTAACAACTTCACCTCTTTGTGCAAATGGAGTATGTTAACTTAAACCGATGTACTTATGTATCAGATTCTACTCTAGGTACATGGAATGTTCGTACAATGTGGGACACCGGGAGAGCCTTCCAAATCGCTGCAGAAATGAGGAGTTACAACCTAGAGGTGCTTGGGATCAGTGAAACACACTGGACGCAAGTTGAACAACAACGACTAACTTCAGGAGAGCTTCTGTTATACTCCGGCCATGAAGAAGAAAATGCTCCACATACACAAGGAGTTGCATTGATGCTGTCCAAGCGAGCACAAAACGCACTTATAGGATGGGAATTTCATGGACCAAGGATCATCAAAGCCTCCTTCAAAACAAAGAAAGAAGGCATTTCAATGAACATCGCCTATGTGCCTTCAATAAACTGGTCATAGGCGGCACCATATTCCCACATAAGCGCATTCACAAAGCCACATGGACTTCACTGGATCACACTACGCAGAACCAAATCGACCAATTTTGTTGCATAACTAATACTAAATTGTTCCAACTCAATTCAGAACTAGAAAAGTGATGTGGCTCAAAACATAACACTTCATTAAAATAGAACCTCTGCTGTCCTCTTGGTTACTGTATCACTTATTCTAATCTCACTTTGATTTGGTCATTTAAGTATTGTCCGTGCTGATATAGCATAGATGGAGTGTGGCTAGCAGTTTATTTATTTAAATACGTAGACATTGGTACAAGGGGCACCAAATAGATATGCGCCACATAAATCATTCGGTTTGTGTAAGGGCTAGGATACTGACCGGATGCCCAAACCGAAGCAGGTGGTCGTCTTAGGGGGCCACATTCGGAGCCTTCAACCTAATGGTCTGACCCACAAGGCAGCGGAGCAACGTAAAGAGATGCAGTCCCATGGTATCCGGTGACCAATAGTTGGTTCATACGCCATTTGTTCCTTCAGGATACTGGAGCCCATGTGTACCATTGGTTTGGGATGAGGGTTTTCCAACTCCCCAGGTGGACTCTATGTCCACCAACCCGGTTAAAGCACTGGACATCCGCTTTACGTCCCCTCGATTTCGTAAACAACACCCCAGCTGCGAGAAGACAGTGAGTAGGACTTCTCTGGTAGTGGTTGTGTGCATGTGGCCATGTGAGAGCATTTCGAGAGGGATAGTTGACTCTCTCCACTTTCGGCCGTATCACGGCATTTGGTGGCTAGCAGTAGATTCCAGGATGTGCGTTTCGTTCTATTTAGGACTGGTCAGCAGGACGTATCAGTATCCCAAGTTTGATATTCACTCCTGGATTCGAACCCACTACCGTTCATCCAGATGTACAAGCCAGTAACTATCGGTTAGCTGTCTGAAAAACATAGTTATTATGTGAATAATATGGATGGAATATAAGAATATTCGTCAACATTTGAATAATTCAATTTGAAATGGTTTGGATTACCCCGTTGTTGATATATGTTAAATGGAGCTTGATCACTTGATTGGCATATGGGAATCCAGTAGGGATTGCCTCACGTCGCAGGCATTATAAGCAGAGATGGATAGTGGCTAGCAGTGGGATCCAGGTTGCACGTCTCGTCCTAATTAGGATTGGTCACCATGACATACCAGTATCCCAAAGTTGATATTCACTCCTGGATTCAAACCCACTACGGTCCATCCAGTTGTACAAGTCAGTAACTATCTGAACTCAGTAGCCAAGCGGATGACGCTATGGGGTTTGAGGTAAATTGTACTGGGTCTAAGTCCCGGAGTGATCATCAACTCTAGGATCTAGGACGCTCGTCTCGTCCTAATTAGGAGTGGTTAGCATGACGTACTAAGTTTACGTAAACTTACTATCTTTCATACGTTCAATAATTATATCGCTTTGGTTGATGTTGTATGAATAATAAAACCCAGATGGAATCCATAGACCATTGATTTGACACTGATTAAAAATCATCAGCGTAATCTATCTGCAGTCCTGATGATAATTATAATACATACATTGGAGGTGTTTTATTACTATCATTACTAAATGATCAGAATAAAAATCAACTTCATGGTATTGTCTCTAGTATCTATTGGATTCTTTTACTAATTACCCGACCTCCTAATCCCAACCAGCACAAAACTTATATCCTCCAGTCGTTTAACATCAAAGAATTTCGTTAAGTCATCTAATGGACATTTTTAAAGAGTGATTAATAGAATTGCATCAGCACATAAAGAGGGAGCACTAGACGATAAGACTTTTATTCGCCGATTAATTTGTTAATCCTACTTTTGTCTCATTGTTTCACTCGGTTTGACAAAAATGAGTACAAGAGTGAGTGGGTTGGGAACAACAAACAATTTTCGGATTGAGAAGCCAGAATGAAGTCCATAAATGTAAAAGTACAATTTTATGTTGAAATTATAGAAATTTCTGAGATGAGTTAGTTATATTTTTACTAGCATCGATAATGAATTATAACCAGTCTAATTGAATTTCTCTCATATTGTGTCCATAAAATCTTTGGAAGTTTTGAGAAATTTACCACTTGGACGCTTGCTACTAACTTCCTAGCTGCTTACGTATAAACCCTGGGTACACCTCAACTCGAAAAATGGGAAGAGGCACGAAGTGTATGAGCTTTGTCTCAAGGTTAGTTGTGTGCAAAGAATCAAGTGTATTTATAGCGTCTTATGTCTTTAACCTTCCAGAAACTTCTGGAAATGCCAAATATAGCAATGATGTAAGTAATTATTCAACCAAAATGTGACAATCGTGTGGATGTTTTCCGTGAAACCCCTATTCAATATTAGATGAACATTTTCCAGTTTCCTGAGCCTCTGACGAAAGATTTTTACAGATTCCCAAAAAAAATCTTTTCAAATAAATATACTTTCATGCTTACAAGCTTTTTGTAACGTTACTTAATTTGTCTCGGCATGCAGGAGGAAGAGCTTCGTGGTGCTGTACTGGTAATATTGGCAAATAAACAAGATATATCTGGTTGTATGACTATCAGTGAAGTAGCACAATCACTTGGCTTAGCTGCAATTAAAAATCGACGTTACCAATTATTTAAAACATCTGCATTAAAAGGTGAAGGATTGGAAGAAGCCATGGATTGGTAAGTTTATTCAATCTATTATAAAATGAATGATTAACTTTACTTTAAGTCTGTATTCCTTATAGTTGAATGGAGTGGTTAAGGTGTTTGACTTTCAACCATTAAGCCATATATTTAAACCACGCGCCTCATGTACTTATATTTCAAGAATTAGTTGGTATCACCAGCCTTCGTACTTACAGCGTGACTCAAAGCGAATTAAATGTATTTGTACATGGTAAATGAGTAAACGGGAGATGTATACAATAAGATGCTAGTTGGCTGACGGTGATGAACTGGATGGCTTACCTACTTAAATTGGGTTTCGCGCTAGTTGTCACTTGTCAAGGGCGAGTTATATTTATAATCTTATCGAAACTAATGCTCGTTAAATTCAAACTTGGGCCATTCATTTTTCAAGTTAGAGATGTTACCAATGAACTCTTTGAGTTTCGTTACCCTTCTGCATGTGATAATGAATGAGACTACGTCCATGTTTCAGGGTTTGAGTACACTTGATGGTACTATGGAAACAATTAAGTCAACCAACTAAGTTCGTCAAATTGATACCGTTGACTGGTTTAGTTTTTTTCTAAACTTTCCTACTTTGAAACTTAATTCTCTTTCATTGTGCACTGGATTATTAACTTTATGTAACCGCTAATGTTTATTGGTCGGAAGTTATGATAACTATTACATTTGTTAACATAATACAATATGTCTTTTATTGGTTCACATTCACATTTGTTTAGATGATATGTACTTTACCGTAAATCGGCTGATAATCAAACTTATTCGTTTGTATTAAGGTTTCAGATTTCATAAGATCCTTTTGTACATAATAATATTATTTATTGAGTTGATAGTTTGTAAACAGAAAAGTCCACATTGATTTCAAGGCGTGAATGTTTACCAAACTATGGAGACTTCACAGAGTTGCAGTAGCGGTTTGACGATTTAAACAATCGGCCCTCAACTAACAGGTCGGATTTTCGAACTTCAATCTGCCTGCTTCAGCTTGAATGATCAAGTATCACCACTATGCCGCTAATACAAACAATGCAAGTCAGTTGTATCGTGCTTGATGACTGCGATACATTGTTACTTCTGAGAGTTTTGAACAGTCTGTAGGGTACTTAACCCTTACATAATTAGATAGGTGACGAAAGTAAATATCTTCATGAGTTGATATCACATCACCATTTGTTTATTTCAATGGTTAAGATCATGAGTCAGTTGAAGCTAGACCACCATGGAAAACCTGGAAGCACTGGACGGCCGTTTCGTCCTGGTATGGGACTCCTCAGCAGTGCGCATCCACGATCCCGCACCACGCGGGATTGAAATTACTACAATCTCCACAAAAACCCATCTGACATTTGTTTATTCTTAGCGTTTTAGTCAGTCAGCCACAACGTAGCACCTGGTACGTATGTACATCGGTTCAAGTTGCCATATCCCATTTGCAGATATGTCAAACCAAATCCCAAAAAATTAGAGATGGTAGCAATATCAATCGTAATAAGAATTGGGCATCGTAGATAAGATCCGAGGGAGAATATAAATTAGTGAAACAAAAACGAAAAAAAGTCATGAGAAATATAGAATCTCAGAATTAGGGAAAAGATAAAGAATGGATGCATGTGCCCCATTTCAAACTATTTTAAGCTATGCCATTCCCAACTAAATTACACATTAATCACTCTTGTAAGCTGAAATATGGAAAACTGGTGACTCAAAATATTTGACGTGTCCTGATCAACTTTTGTCGATAGTAAGTACACAACGAAATAGACTCACTCGTCATATTTTAATACAAAATATCCTGTGATATCCTAGTTCATGGAATTAGAAGTTATTTACCTCACAATATTATTGCTAATTACATAATATCTATTTGAATAAACGTCATATTTTATTTATGCAGGTTATCGAACACTCTGTGTACACAGAAATGATTTTCGCTACCAAAGTTCCTTCTTATTACACAAAAGAAATAGCTTGTGGATTGGGGAGTTCCTCGTTTTTGATTTTACTTTTTACCGGCCATTTCTTTGTAAATGCCCTCCTTGTCATTTGCTGAGTTTGACGAAATGTCTCGTCTCTTAACTTTTATACTTACAATTATTTGAACTAATCAATGTCTTCCTTTGTTTCCACTAAAATGTACAATTTGACTTGCCTGTGATACACCTATTTTCAACCATAATACATTATCGTTGGTAGATATGACCCATTATAAACTACATAGAAGTTACTTATCTATTACTCGTGGAACATTTGCCACGCTGAAGATATACTGATGGTCTTCCTGATCGTAGGTATCTTGGTTTCTTAGTACTAACCTAGAGGTTGGGTTGATTTTTTTCAGATCACAACTTGCATCTAGTGTGAAATAGAGTCCCAAGTCTGTTAGTTCTTGATTTAGCCATGTCGAAATGATCAGTGAATATTTTCGCCACTTTTAGGTTACTAAGAGCTTCACCGCTAGGTCTCAATAGGGTATCAGTAATACCTTGTGATCGTCCTCCGTTAGCCTCAATAATTCTTGTAGCCATGAGGCGTGCTAGTGACGCTCTAGAACGGTCGTGTCGTTTGACCGGCTGATGCGAAGTTGAAAAATATTATTGTAAATTATATACATCTAATTTGCAACTACGTTAAAGATAATTGTTACGTAATCACCACTCACAATGGGTTAATTGAAAGAAGCATCTTTTCATGAAACATTAAAGTGGAATTGGTTCTCAACCATTCTATTCTTAAAGCCGAACATACGATAACAGAGGAGACCCATATTAAACATCGAACACTTTGAGGCCAGAGATGGTCAACGTGAAAGGACTAAATCCCGACAGAATAGCTCAAAGATGCATTAAAAACGACGAACCAATTACGCCCACACCAAGATTAAATTGCAACAAATATTTAGGAAAGAAATGATGAGCATGAGAGGCAAAGCACAGAGATATTATAAAGTCAGTGAGACAAAAACATCCTTAGAACGTATACACAGGCCTATATGACACCTTCACCTCTTTGTCCTAGCGGTCTTACTGTTGTCGCAAACATATGGCATCACGAGTAATAAGTCGAGTTTTTTCCCAATGCCTCAGTCCCGGTTTTGTACGATTCATTGCATTACCCTCAGTTTAGTATAACAGGAGGTATGATTAGCACTAAATTTCTACAGAGATATACGCGTGTAATTTGTTTATTTCAACCGACCCACAGAAATACTGTTTAGAATCGAATGAATAGACTTATATTACACACAAATAGATCAAATTGCCCGACGCCTCTTTAAGTTTTAATCCACATCTACACTTTATTTGCCACTAATTTCCAGATTCTGAGTTCACAACAATGATTATACTGCGTTTTTGATTCAGTCACAGGACCTTAGGAAATCAAAGTTTATCCAGTTCTTGGAGTGATACAGTCTACTATTTGGTTTCAAGAGCAAAGATCTGAAGAAGAAAAGCCAATTTTTAATCACTAGCTCCAAAGGTAGTAGCTAGCAATGCTTTACAGTTAAGAAAAATAAAGATTGAAAAGATACTACGGATCCTATATATTACTTGAGAACATCGTTGTTACTTATAAGCATTGGACCACTAGAAACTGTATAGAGAACAATCTGTTTACGACAACCCTATAAATAACCTAGTCTGTATTTAAATAATTTGTCATTGATGCATCTAGACATGTTAGTTGCCCAATAGAGCGGACGGAATGACTTGCTAAATCGACTGAGAAGAACGTTACGCCGGGTTAGTAACTAATTACTATATAGATATACTAGACTCAAACAAGACAAACTGTTGTCGGCCGATGTTCCTGATTACTCTCAGCGAGATCCAACCGTGTGAAGCGCAGTTGAATTCACCACTCCATCATAACCTGAGACATTGACGAGCCAGTTGTTCTAACCAACCAAATACTTATAGACCCACGTCCCCGTACTTTATGATGGCGAAATGCAAAGAAACCAGGAAGAACCTAAGGGTACGAATAATAAGAACAATGGGGACAGAATGTGAAGGGACCCCCCACTGAATAAAACCACCGGATGAGTCGCTAAGAAGACTTTCATCGTCAGGATGTGATGGTGGGTAGAAGACAATCGCATCCGTCTCATTTAAATAGATTTCGAATCCTTCCACTGCCTTCAATAATATAGACTGTTCATCTCCCAGATCAGCGAATCCACAGCATCTAGTGAGGTCGTAATTGGCAGTTTTTGACTCCATAGGCTAGTACGATGTTTTAATTTGGAGGCCTATAATGTTCCAGTCTCCTCCTACGTTAATAAGAACCACCTATATTAGCCTGTGAACAGAGAAGCACAGACGGACCGCCTGGACGGATGTTAGTTCATAAACTCATCAACTTGCCATCATTACCGGATATCTTATGTTCTTACTAGTCACTAACGGATGTAGTAAGATCACACTTGTGTAGGCCCAGATTGCTACATCACTACGCCACAGTGAGGAATAAAACTTTAAATAATAAGGGAACCGTAGCAGTGATACAATAGGTTTTTAGCAAACGAAACTAGTAAGCAGGACGTCTGACGCAACGTAAGGTACCAAGTTGTAATGGGAGATGAGTCTGCAACACATCTATGAAACTAGATCCGATTGTGACCCATCAACAAATGTGTGCAGCTACTGGTTATGGCTATCGTATGGACCCACCTACTTAATGGTTCTGCTATAGGCCTCCAGATCTTGGTCGACACCAACGACCGAGTACTTCCAAGTAATTACGACTGGAAGTTAATCAGTTCTTCTTTGGTGAGTTCTTCTCAGCATTCGATAAAGCACTGTGTCGACTGGGTTTCAGTTTCACTTGCTATTTTGGCTTTAAACCACGTTCTCAAGTATTACATTTTATATTGGGGATTCACTGACATTATAAGGGCTTTTATTTGAAGGCACTTATCATAAGCATTTTACTGCGGTCTTTAGGATTCTCGAATATAATTAACTCTTCAGACACCTCCCAAAAACACATTAAAATTTGTTATTAATCAGTACCCTTCACGATTTCAGTGTAAAAGTTTGATGGCTCAACATTTGTAAACTGTGCGGCGAAAGTAACTATGTTGTAAAAACAACCTCTGAATATCACATCAATGGTAGGAAATCATGGGAAAATAAGGCAGTCAGTCCGAGTCTATGGCGAAAAATCATCGTGCCATTACAATGTCGTGACATTTATTTGTTTCTTTGACTCGATCGATTTGAACAAATACTGAATTTTTATAATTATTTCCCCTTTTGAGTCGATTTTTAACTGAAATAAGTGTCCCATGCATATGTCATATATGTCAAACAATCATAAGAATGAAACATATTATTGATCACTGGGAAAATGAATAAACCAGCTTCTTCATGAACGACATGATATCTATGTCTTTCATCACAAGATATCCAACCACGATCGCGGTAAGGAAGAATATTGCGTACCAAAAGAAACCACGTTTGTGGTTTTCAGTCACTTCGTATACAGTTTCTTGAGGTTCAGAAAATCTGACGCGATTTCTCGAGCGGACACTTGTCTCTCCAGCTGCATCAGACGAATCGCTATTATCTGAAGAATCCGGACTTTGAACTCTTATATGGTGTTAAAGTTTGTGTTAGACACTTACGGCTCTTCAATCACCAGAGAAGCTGGAAAACGTACATCGTCATGAATATTAAGAAATAGGACATACGATCAATTAAAAATGCCAGCTTTTTGCGCAATATTCTCCTAGTGACGTCATCTTTGTAAACTTAAGACGTAGCAATAGTGCAACAAACCTTGAATAGGTGGTGGGTAATATCCCTTGCTTGACAACTCGGCTCTTAACTCATCATCAGTAAGAGATAGTATTCGTTCCATATCTTAAAGTTGATAGATGCATTACACATGGAACAAACAACCTTGAGGTACCAGATGACCTAGCGAACTAAAACAATGTAGAATACAAATGATAGGGACATGAAATGAAGTATTTCAATACATCGAAATAATATATATATATATATATATATATATGAGGAATGGGATCGATAAAGCCAAGTATCACTTGACAAAGCTGCAAATCAGAATACTGATTTATATGGACTTGTCTTGAATCCACTGGATTTGTCAGTGTGTCAAAAGAAGGCTGCATTCAGTTTTCATACAGCAGTTTGCCAAGTTTTTTAATGCTTCTTTAGCTTTGGTTTCGTTTTGGCAAACACCAGATGATGATTTGAGGATATGTCAGCTCCATGTACCTGTTAAAGTTGCTGATCCTGTTGTTGGATAGGGGAATAGGCCTTTTTTGTTCCGAAGAAGCTCTGCTTTCGACACGAGGCGCCATAGTTTGTTCTACGATCACCTACGATCAATAATATCATGAAGATGTGATAACATTCAGCCCATATTTCTGCAGCGATACTCGAAATTCGTCAATTGATTTGTTTTCGATCGGTTAATGCAGTCTATTCAGTTCAGACGACTTGTAATGTTGGATAGACAAGCAACCCTCACTTAAACTTTCAAAAGAAAGAAGACAAAACCATTTGTTCTTTAGACCGGATGCATTTTTCCGTGTTCGTTCATTATCAAATGAGGGAATGTTTAGAGTCACACATTATCCTTCACGAAGACAAACACTGTTTAAGGAGAGCAAGGTCCTACGAATTCAATCTCTTCACCTCATGATACAGGTAAAAGCTGCTTTAATTAAAATTACCGGCACAGAAACTGGGTGTGCCTAAGTGTAATAATAAAGGGGTCAACATAAGTGATAATCAACCAGATTATAATAAATGAACGATATACAGTAATGAATACAGCAAGTAAGTTACGAGACAGCTTAATCCATGGGTGAGTATCTATTTGTCGAATCTCCTCTTAAACCTATCCACTAATGGGTCTGAGGTCGCTTCGGTTGAGAGGGCATTCGAAATTGTGGCAACTTAGTGATAAAACGTGAGAACGTACCTGGGTGTTCTCTAGACTACACTGATTTCGGAATTGAGTCTTATATTTGAGGCATTTTTGTCTTGATGTTAACAGGCTTGGTAGTAGTAATCTTGCCCAATTACATAGGAGAAGCCTTTTAGCCCTTCAGAAAGAAAGAAGAGCCATGTAAAGAAAGTGTGACTGAAACATTGAAAAAGCTAAGTAGACGGATACGTTTCAGTTCATCCTGCAGTTTTAAAGTGATATGAGGGATTTCGATATCTATAGTGCAAACTGACATGTTAGAGTCTACACTTTCCTATCACCTTCGGAGACTAACGAACATCCTAAAAGCGCTTAGAAATATGATGAATACGCCAGTACGGGATGTGGTATGACCGCAAGTGTGCACTACGTGTTTGTGTAGAATGCATATATCAGAGATACTTACATTCTACAGTGCACATACGCATAAATTCGTGCGGTCACATGTTTATGTCACATGCGTATGTGAAGTACACAGGCCATGATATATAAATTCCATAGAATACAAATGTGTATAAATGGGAACATTCCAGGTCGCAGCCAACATATATCCATAGATCAAGCTTGTAGCTATTTCTCTATTATCACCTTTCAAGAGTAAAGCATCATATTAGTTAAAACAATTGCCTCTAAGCTGCTAAGCCTGGTGCTCGTACCCTGTTCTGTCTTCTTTGGTTTAGACAACATGACAGTAACGTTAGCCTCCAAGATTTGTTTGATTAAAAACCAAGTTTTGAAAAATATGAAGCTAGGTTCTACTGAAGCTCGGTTCTTCAATCTCGTAGAGGATCTGGGATTACTCGAAAATGTGAAGTCGACAACTCGTTGGAGACACAGTCAGACGCCGTCGCGATTAGACCGAATTATGACAAATGAAGCATTCCTAGTTGACAACCTCTAAATCCTGGCGGATCTGTGGTGGGGCAATCACTTCGCCATAGCCTTCAGTCTTATCAGTAAAACTGAGCTAAGACGTCTCACCAAAAACAGGCGCTGGAATCGCAAACTGTTGAATGCGTTAGCATTACATTACAATCTACAACGTGTGGGTTGGGAAATTAACCGTCTACCTTATGTGGATGCTCATTGGGATTTCTTATTGCACACGCTCCTATGTGCCAAAAGGCAGTATGTACCGCAAATGGTCCCCAAAGTCTACAAGCAACGTACAGTCACCAAGAACCGCACTCATCATTTGCTAAGCCGCAAAAGGCACTGTTGGGCAGAATACTCACGAACTGATAAAAACAACGGAGCGTACAGGAAATACAAACATATAAGGAACATATGAACGAAGGCTATAAGTGAAGACAGGCTTTAGTACCAGATAAAGCTTATGGATAAATTTGTCTCGAATCCGAAAAGCTTATTTAGTTATGCAGCCTCTCTTCGTCAAGCCAAATCTGGGGTTTCTCAACTGCCAGGTCCTAGTGGAACGACCAATAACGACGGTGACACCACTAACCTTCTGGTCGAACAGTACTCTCGGACATTCCAACCGACCCACACAAACTATATTGATGAAAGCTTCATCTGCAACTGCACAGGACATCCCGAAGTCAACCTGAGCGCTGACTTGATGTATCGGAAACTGTAGCACTTAAAAAAGACATTTCTCCTGGTCAATATATGTCTCATTCTGCTATACTGAGTGAAGTAGCTTCAATCCTGGCAACACCGCTTAGCGTGGTGTTCTCACACTCGCTAAGCCGAGTCATATTACTGGATATTTGGAAGTTGGCTCACATCCCACCAATTTTCAAAGGAAATCGATGCAGAGAACATTCAAAAATTATGAATTCTCTGATAGGCGACGGTATACACGACAATTTATTGTCGTTAAATTTCTTCTCACCCCAAAAGCATGATTCAGGAACGGTTACTCTTGCATAACCAACCTGCTGACTGCGGCGGACTGATGGACAAGCATTCTTGATAGCAAGGGGAAGGTGGAATTTATTTACCCTGATTTCTCAAAGGCTTTTGTTAGAGTCAACCATATATGTCTTATCAATAAGCTCAAACAATTGGGTACCAGGTCACGTCTAATTGATTGTCCCACTTCATATCTGAAAAATCGACACTTTAAGGCTAGGGTTAATTTCACTTTATCTCAGGCTATGGAATGTCCTAGCGGGGTCCCCCAGGGCTCAGTACTAGGACCTCTTCTTTTCTTGATTTATATAAATGATCTTCCACGACAGATATCACCAGACTTATTACTTTTTGTTGATGATGTGAAACTTTGGAGAGAGATACGCAAGCGAGAGGATATACAGACACTTCAGGAGGATCTGACTCGACTTCAAAGTTGGACAGATGACAATGGACTTACCTCTAACACTTCAAAGTGTAAAGTAGTCCATCCGAGACATGTTACAGAATACAGTCACAACCTGGGAAACTCCTCTCTAGAAGTGTCCCGAGTTAAAAAAGACATAGGAGTCTTGGTGCCCTACGATTCGAAGTTTTATGCTAACTGTGACAAAAATGCCTTTCGAGCAAACCTTGCACTGGCAACATCTGAGCGCATTTCTCGCCACTTTGACAGAAGAACATTCCACATAATCCTCACCAGTTTCATTCGTCCCCATTTAGAGTACGGAAACATAGTATTTCCTCCCCCACTCCAAAAGGACAAGAACACTCCGGAACATATCCAATGGCGAGCCACGAAATCAGTTCGGGCACTCAAATTCAAGGCTTATGAAGAGCGCCTCCAATCACTTAGCTTTTACCCATTGGAGTACAGGCGTCTTATAGGTGGTCTTCTGACGGCTTACAATATCCTCAACACTTCTGGACGTTCCCTTAAATATCCTCTTAAGTTTAGCTTCAACATAAACCCAAGGGGTAACACCTAGAAACTGGAGAAGCAACACAGCAGGATGGACTGTAGACAAAACTTCCACTCCTTAAGAGTTGTCAAAAGCTGGAATTCGTTGCCGGGTGAGCTAGTCCAAGTGACTTCTCAGGAGTCCTTTAAGGGGAAACTTGATCTAATCTTAAGGACTAAGGACAGCATCACACTATGATTTACCAATTTCTTTTACTCCATTACTGTTAACATACCTAGGTTCCTGTCTGGAGGATTTGGTGATCCCCTGTTGCTAGACACGGAAGACTGTTAAGCGAAAGCTTCTTCTATTCCGTCCACAACCATTTGAACCATTTGAACATTTTATTATGTTACCAATTTCTTTTTTTCTAATCTATTATACTTAATATACCTAGGTTCCTGCCTGGAGGTATTGGTGATCCCCTGCTTGTACACACGGAAGCATGTTAAGCGGAAGCTTTTTCAATTCCATCCACAGCCATTTGAACCACTTGAAACAAGAGCTAATAATGTATGGTTCCCATTCAAACTAAACGCTACTTGATAGACTTAGAATGTTAACTGGCTGTGTAGGTGTTTGTTTCATGCCAACATTGATGTACTTAGTTCCAAGACAGTCTCGTATGTAATAGCTAAAATAGCCAGTTTGAGGTCTATTTTCTATTTTGATCAGTGTTTCGTTATATCCTGTTCCTCAGTGTTATTAGAATTTTACTGATATGTCTGAATCTTAACGTTTGCATTAATTTACAAGGAGAGGTTTTATTTTTTTACTTGACTGGCTACCTGATCCTTTTTTTCTATAAGCCAGTTTTTCAAAAATCCTTTCATGTAACCCCAACCGTTTCTATGTTATGTCGCCTAACTACTGGGGACGATTATCACGTAGACCCCGACTAGAAAATTTTATCTCCGTATGGCTCAAACCAACAATAAATCAATTCGTTTGTTATTCGCCTCTGGCTTACCTTTAACGTACTATATCAGCCAGAACAGAACATTTGGGAAGACGGTAACTAAGGGTTCGGAACACCAATTTGAACACCCTTAATCAATATAAATT